GAGCTCCAGAGAACTCTGACAATGGCCCTCTGTCCGCCTGGCTGTTTGCACTGCTTGGTGCAGCTGACAGAGCGCTGCCTGGATCCAGCAGCTGGGCACCCGGTGGGTGGCCGGGCTGCGGGCTCCAGGGCCGAGCCCGCAAGGCACCTGACCACAGGGTCGCGTTGGACCGATGGCTACGGTTCTGACCTTCAGACCCGAATTAAACCCAGGCTCGGTCCTCTGCCCAAACAGTGGCCTGGGGCAAATGAACGTCTCTGCCCAGCCACCTCGTGGGGCAGTTGCGACAACCAAGAGACGGTAATGTCGCTAGTTGAGAGAGTGCCTATGTATTGCAGCTTCCAGTCTGAACAGTTTATGCTCCGTGGAGAGTCTTGGAACAACCCAGGAGGCAAACTGTGTTGTCACCATTGTACAGAAGAGATGGAGGCACAGAAGGGCCAATTGCTCAAAGGTCAGGGACATGGACCGACTGTGGCAAAGGAAAGGAAAAAATAATGGGAGGGGCACTGGGAATTGAGCCTCAGGGCAATTTGGCAGGTGACCTGGGGAGCCTCAGAGGCTTGGGGACATCTTCAAGCCCTGAGCTGGCTGGCACTGCCTATCACAGGTGGAATTAAAGGAGTGGTTATATAAGCTGTTGTGTTTGGGAGTCTTTTAAAAATAGCATTCTAACAGGTGCACTCAGAGAGAGAGAGAGAGAGAGAGAGAGAGAGAGAGAGAGAGAGGGGTACCACAGATTTACAGTGGCCAGGGAAGCCCCCTTTGAAGAGATGATCTCTTTCTGCTGGGTACGGTGGCAACTGTCTGTGAATCCACTGATTTGGGAGGCTGAGGCAGGAGGATCACAAGGGCGAGGCCCAAATCAACAACTTAATGAAGCCTTTTCTTAAAATCAAAAACATCCAATTTTTTAAAAAGGCGGCCAGGGATGTTGCTCCATGGTAGGGTACCCCTGGGTTCAATCCCCAGTACCACAAAATGTAACAATTAAAAAATTTAAAAAATGAGAGACAGAGAAATTGTTTCCTTTTCATTTTTTTTTAAATCTCCATGTTTATTTTCTTTTAAAATATCACTGTGTTAAAACAAGACCCCAATTTACTGAACATTGCATACTTATTATTTTTTTTTCTTTTATACAATCTCAGGATATAAAGAGGATTGGGGGGGTGTGCTGGGGTTGTGGCTCAGTGGTAGCACACTTGCTAGCACATAGGAGGCACTGGGTTCTATTTTCAGCACCATGTAAAAATAAAATAAAGATATTGTGTCTACCTAAAACTAAAAATAAATATTAAAAAAAAAACAGAAGAACGAGAAACTATATTCAGTTATATGTAATGTATCAGAGTTCATTCTAGTGTCATGTGTAATAATTAAAACAAATTTTAAAATAATTTTAAATGATCAGTCTCTTCCTCCTCCCCAAATTGCTGCTTTTAATTTACTTAGAAAGTAAATAGCATTCTACGTTTTTCTGAAGGAAAATTAGAAAATACAGAAAGGTGGAAAGAAGAACACACGTATTCGCTGGAAGAAAACACATATGCACTCAAGAAAACAACTTAAAATACAGAAAGATGGGAGAATATTTAAGAGACTTGCTTCTTTAAAAAAAGACATTTTTTTCCTTCTGAATTTCAGATTATTTCCTTAGTTAAATTTGAATCAAGAATGAGAACAAAGGAAAGGTCTTTGGTTCATCTTATCAAATAACACTTTTTTTTTTAAGAGAGTGAGAGAGGAGAGAGAGAGAGAGAGAATTTTTAATATTTGTTTTTTAGTTCTCGGCAGACACAACATCTTTGTTGGTATGTGGTGCTGAGGATCGAACCCGGGCCACACGCATGCCAGGCGAGCGCGCTACCGCTTGAGCCACATCCCCAGCCCTTCAAATAACACTTTCTAAATACCAAACCTATTTGCATTTCTCAGCATATCATGTGAGGACTCTGGTCACCGCTACATGATGGGGACACTTTGTGCCATGGATCATCCAGTTCTTAAGTTGGAGCATGGCTTCTCCTGTGATACTATATACATTGTCAGCTGCCCAGCAGGGGCCAGCAAGGAGGGGCAGGCATACAGTGAGGGAAAAATTGCATGTATCAGTCAGCTAGCGCTGCATAACAAATATCCCCAAAACTTAAAGGTGTAAAACAAAACATTCATTGATTCTCAGGAAACCATCAGTGCGCTGGGTGGTTCTATTAGTCTGGCTGGTCTTGGCTGTGGTCATTTGGTGAGTCACCCTTGGCAGGGACATCTGTACCTTGGAGTGAGTGTTCCAACCTGCTCCCCTGGGTCTATCCTCACGGCCGCAGCAGGATTCCAAGAGAGACACCCATAACCACCCAGGGCTTGGTCCACTCCTGCTTAGGGGTCAGCTGTCTCTCTTCCACTTGTCAAAGTCATGTGACCCAGCTCACAGCCAGGGCAGGAAGGAAGGTGCTACCAAGGGACACGGACACGGGCCATCGAGAATCATTGGGACCATTACTGCAATCATCTACCGCAAGCTGCGTCCTCAGCCGATGGGAACACGGTCTCCATGGCAACCACCAAGGGCCACTCTGAGCCCCCCCCCCATGGCACCAAGGGTATGTTGGTGGAAGGCGGCTGACCTCTGTCCACTCACGACCTGGCACCCCATTTGATCCCTGTGCAGTGTAAGTTGTGGGGGGGACAGGAAGTGGGGAGTCCTTGAACTGTCACCCTGGAGACATGGGGTTTAGAAAAACTCAAGTTGGGGTACCAAAAACAAAAAAATCAAAGAAAGGGACAATTCGGGCACAGCTGGGTTTTATAGGTGAGAATTCAAATCCACAAGAACTGAGGTTCACTGGAGGATACCAATGACCCCTGCAATTCACAGGGAGTTTCTGGAGCCGTGGAGAGAAAGAATCTTCTAGCAATCGGCCACTTTGAGGCCAGCAAGGTCCGTAACCTACCAACCAGACGGACGTCCTCATTTCCTAGCCCAGAGAGGTTGAGCGACTCCTTAGAGGTCACACAGCAAGCTCAGGCAGCCGGTAAGGAGCTGAGTTCCCCCGTTGTGTCTGCAGCGCCGGGTGACTGCTGGGGTTTGCTGCAAACATTCAAATTATTTCTTAATTGGAGTCTCCTGCTTAATTAGTGCTTCCTGAGCAGACAGTGCTCCACGGGCTCAAAACCTCAATCAACACCATCATCTCTAAATTGCTGCGAGCTCGCTCTTCTCCACACGACGACGCATCATGGGTTTTGCTCAACAGGACAGCGGGAGAGGGGACAGGGACATGCAGTCCGCCTTGGCAGAAAGAAAGCAGCTGTTCTCGCCGCCACCCCACCCGCTGTTCCAGAGACTTCTTAGTGCTTCATGGCTACACCCGGGGGCGGGGGTGGGGCGGGGGTTGGGAGTCAGGATTGGGAAACAGGCAGACAGTTGGACTCCAGGATGTACCACTAACTCCCCGTGTCACCGTGGGGGGACATCTCTGCCCTCTCTGGATCCCACTGACCACTCAAAGTGTCCCCCAAGTCCAGGCAGGGTGGCGCATACTTGTCAGCCCAGTGGCTGGGGGAGGCTGAGGCAGGAGGATCGCAAGGTAGAGGCCAGCCTCAGCAAAAGCGAGCCCCCAAGCAACTCAGCGAGACCCTGTCTCTAAATAAAATAGGAGTGTTTGTTGGCAGGAAAGGAAGATGGAGCTTCATCTCTCAATCTCTCCTTTCAGTATGTGCCTGGCCATATTTGGAAGACACTTATGCAAAAAGTAATCGGAAATTCACGTTTGACTAGCTACCAACCCTCACTGAACTGGGGAGGTTCTGTTCCGTTCTGGCTCATGAGGTCAGCCTCCTCGGAGGCTGTGCAGAGCGGAGGCCGGGAAAGACGCAGGCCAGGGCTGAGGAGCCATCTGCACCCGCCAGCTCACCTCTGGGCCTCCACTTTGTGAATGATGAAATGCATGCTGGCTGGATGGCTAGATGTGGAGGTGCATGCTTATGACCCCAGCCCCCTCCAGGCTGATGTGGGAGGATTTGCAAATCGGAGGCCAGCCTCTGCAATTTACACCTTGTTTCAAAACCCAGAGGGCTGCTGATGCATCTCTGTGCTGATCTGGAATCCACGAGGCCCTGCGTCCGTCGGGTGGATACTATCGAGTGGACTTGCTGGACGGTATGCTAATCCAATCAACAGACATATTTCCTGTTTTCAATGGTAACCCGCAGGTAGGAGGCAGCATCTTATTGGGGTTTTGATTGGCATTTCCTTAATACCCGTGCTTTTGCAGCCTGATGTGACAGGCCCTGCCAGGAAGCGGTGACATCTCCTGAGTCCTGCGCCTTGCTTTGGTAGTTACAATATGACAGGCGTGAGCTCACGCCCATTCAGGCCTCAGAAAGATCTGTGTGCTGAAATCCAGCTCTAGCGATGAAACTCAGTTCCCAGGTCCACGGGCAGAGCTCCTGAGGGTGGGGCGTGCCCTCAAAATGTCATAGCAATCCCCGGCAGCAGCTCACCACCCATCTCTGCCTTCTGGGTTCTCGCCCTTGTGAGTTTGCAGGACAAAATTCAGCCAGGAAGAGCGAGCGTTAAGAGCCGAGTATATTCTAGACGATGGGGACAGACTCTTGCCTTGCAAGACAGGCGCTAACAGCCGGTGGAGAGCTGCTGGCAATTGTTCAGCAAATCACCGTCATCGCCTTTACAGAGCCAGAGGCTCAAGTCTGCATTGACGTTTTGCTGTTTTGCATTTGGTCACCTAGAAAACGGAAAAATAGCTTTATGCAAGGAGTTGGGTGGTTGCTGTGGTGGCCCAACACGGGATCCGCTCAGTCAGTTGGAGCACTGTTGCTGTCCAGGGGCCTTTATTACTTAATGAAGTAATAAAATCTTCAATGCAAAAAGCACGCCTGTCATCCCAGCGGCTCCGGAGGCTGAGGCAGGAGGATCGAAAGTTGGAGGCCAGCCTCAGCCACTTAGCAAGGCCCTCTACAACTCCGCAAGACCCTGTCTCTAAATAAAATAGAAAATGGGGCTGGGGATGGGGCTCAGGGGTTAAGCACCCCTGGATTCAAACTTCAGTGTCCCCCCACCCCAAGAAAAAATTTCAAAGCAAAATAATTGTACTTCCATGGGGGGAATCATATGCAGAGCTGAAGTGCACATGCGTGTGTGTTCAATCGTCAAGCTAAGATAACCTGTCCATCATTTCAGAAATCAGTTGTCCCTTTTCAATGCATTTTCCTGACCACTAGAGGCCACCACTGCTCCGACTGAAGGATTCCTAGGGCCGGTTCAAGTTCAAGTGCAAGGACTCACACAGTCCGCATTATTTTATCTTTTGATTTGTTCTTACTTATCCATGACAGCAGCGTGCATTCTGACATCTCCCACATCCACGGAGCATAGCTTCTCATTCCCGTGGTTCCCCACACACATAAAGAAGGGCCCAGGGCCAGGCGCTGGTGTGCAGGAAGAGGTTTATTAAAATGCATTTTTCACTTCTGATATTTTCCATCTTTCCAGGGCTTATTCGGTATTGGGATGTAACCCGTCTTAAATCATCTAGATGCTGGTCTCGGAAAAGTGCATCAACTCTCCAAGGACAAGAAAGGAGCGCAGATCCTTCTTGATCAAGGTCCCCGGGTTGTAAGTAACAGTATCAGGGCTGCAGATTGTCCTACCTGCATTGTGTTTTGGAAGATGCTGGTGCCACATGTCTCTGGGAGGACTGGGCACCAAGATGGCACCCACAGCCAGTTACAGGCTCCACCACCCAGCTGCACCCCGGGCATACACCCCCCTTTAATTTTCCGAGATAGTGTCTTGCTGAATTTTGAGGCTGGCCTCCAACTCCCAGTCCTCCTGTCTGAGCCTCCGGAGGAGAAAGTGCACCTCTTCATCTGTGTCCTTTGCCATGCCCTTTACCCGATCTGTCTGTCTGTCTGCCTCTTCATTTTTTGCAGTACAGGCGATGGAACCCAGAGCTTCAGATATGCTAATAAAGAACGCCTCTGCGGAGTCTCCTCATCAGAACTTGTCATATCTTTTTTTTTTTATAATGAAAGCAGTAAACAAAATGTTTCCTCGAATTCCCGGAAGGCATTCTAGCAAGTTGATTGAATCTGAGAAGAAAGTCACAGGAACCATAAGTGATCCTCCGCGAGTCAGAAGCCCAGGTCAATCAGTCTGGAATCTGCAGATCTAAAAACCACCAAGATTTATTTTATTGTTTGGTACCAGGGATGGAACTCAGGGGCACTCGACTACGGAGCCCCATCCCCAGCCCAATTTTGCATTTTATTTAGAGACAGGGTCTCACTGAGTTGCTTATGGCCTCGCTTTGGCTGAGGCTGGCTTGGAACGTGCCATCCTCCTGCCTCAGCCTCCCAGACCTCTAGGATTACAGGCGTGCACCACCAAAGCCCTGCTAAAGGACCTCATCTTTAAAATCCATGCTTTTCAGGGTATGAACCCTAAAGCCTCCAAACATAGCTCATTTTTTTTGGTGACATGCCAACAATCCCCTGCCACCTCAGGTGTTGTGAGTCTAGATGAGGAATGTCACCCAACCACCAGGGGGTAGGAAGGCCGCTATGACAGTCTGTGGAACTGCTGGGAAGTGGTTGGACCTTTAAGAGGCGGGGTCTAATGGAAGGAAGTCAGGTTGTGGGGGCGTGTCTTTGGAAAGGCGATGGGAGCCCCGCCCCTTCCGATTGCTCTGCGCTTCCGGTCTGCCATGATGGGTGCTGGCTCCCCAGCATGCACTGCGGTGGTACTTGCAGCTGCGTCCAAAGAGGCGCCCCCTGCTGGAGCCCTGGGTACTGCAGTACCTTTCTTTCCTTTAACTCAGTTCCCCCGGGTGTTTTGTCACAGTGGCGGACAGCTATCAGACACTTCATAAGACTGGCGTTGAAGGGCCGAGCCCTTCAGGATCTTTGCCACCAGCCTTTTACAGATCAAGTGATTATTTGGGGTGGGGGGAAACCAGGGACTGAACCCAGGCCTCATGCCTTGGGGATGCAGTGAGCCACGCAGTGGATCACTCAGTGACCCACTGAGCCTTCAGGTGATCTTAATTTCCTTTTTCCTCTGGGCACCCAGGATGGCACCCACAGCCTCGCCCATGCCAGTTAGAGGCTCCACCACCCAGCTGCGTCTCGGACCTACACCCCCTTTAATTTTCCAAGACAGTGCCTTGCTGAATGGCGAGGCTGGCCTCCAACTCCCAGGCCTCCTGTCTGAGCCTCCAGAGGAGCTGGGACGATACACCTGCACCACCCACTGGCTCAAGTGACCGTCAGATCCCAGCTGGTCAGCGTTGGCTTGTAAAATGGCTCTTTGTCCCTGAGATCCTAACAGTGAGAGGGACAGCGTGGGGTTCCTGGGAGGGCGAGTCCTGTTTTTCTCAATGTGAGAGGCCATCGGTGCCCACCGTGGAAAACCAGCAGCAAAGCCTGTCCCCCCCAACGCCACCCGTCACCAACTGATTAAAATTCGTGCTCCTTCAGGTTTCAAGTGGACGCAAACCCTGAACCAAGCAGCCAGGGTTCTTTCTGAAAAGACTACCCAAGCCACAGCCAGAGGCTGAGGCAGGAGGACTGCGAGTTGGAGGCCAGCCTCGGCAACTTAGCGAGGCCCTAAGCCACTCAGCGAGACCCTGTCTCCAAGAAAATATTTAAAAAAGCACTGGGGACATTGTGGCTCAGTGGTTAGCACCCCTGGGTTCCATCCCAGTACCTGGAGATGGGACAGGGACATCAGCCCGGCCCTCAGGGACAGTGTCCGGCAGAGGGTCCCAGGAGCAGCAGCACCTCTGGGCAGACAGTGGTGGCTTCTGTGACCGCGGGGGCCACTGTGCGTGTCCATGTCCTAAGTCTCCAGGCATCGTGGACAAAGTTCGGGGACAGGGCTAGGTGTCCCTCAGTGCCTGCCTGGACCCCTGTCCCCAAGCCAAAGCCACACAGCACACCTGGGACACAGCAGAAGGAGGATGGCACCTCCTGATCACCGGCGTCCCCATGTCACGGCTCCCGTGGGACCAGGGCCGGTGGGACTCTGCTTGGGGTGCTCTGAAAGCAGGTCTCTCCACGGAGGAGGGGCCACCCTGAGTCACCAAGAGAAGCAGAATTGGGGCACAGCCAGGGCCTGGGGGACATCCCATCAGCCGCCACGCAGGGACCTCGCTCCGGTGCCGGGGACGGATCTTGCTGTGTGGCCCAGGCTGGCTGCAGACTGCTGGGCCTAAGCCACTGGTGGGGATGATTGGGACATGCCAGCACACCCCACCACACCCAGAACCATGATTTCTTTTTGGTCCCAGGAACTGAACTCAGGGGGACATTCAGCCCCTGAGCCCCGTCCCCAGCCCTACTTTGGATTTTATTGAGAGACAGGGTCCCCCTGAGTGGCTCAGGGCCTCGCTCTGGCTGAGGCTGGCCTCTACCTTGCAATCCTCCTGCCTCAGCCTCCCGAGCCCCTGGGATGACAGGCGTGCACCACCGCACCTGGTGCCCTTGGTTTTCTTTCTTTCTTTGTTTTTCTTTTAGCTGCAGGTGGACACGACACCTTTATTTTACTTGTCTGTGGTGCTGGGGATCGAACCCAGGGCCCCCCTGCAGGCCAGGCCGGCACCCCACGGCTGAGCCGCAGCCCAGCCCAACACTCCTGTTTAGTGAACTACTATGCCACCGCTCACGACCCAGATGTGTTCCCCACCATCCACGGGACTGCCTTCTCCACCCTAATCAGAAGTCTTGGAAAGATGGGGCCACAGGGGCTCATGATCCCAAGGGACCAGAGTGCCAGTTCTTCTGTGCCCTGTGCGGTCCCTTTCACTCCTGTATTGATCTGCTCTCTGACAAGGGGACACAGACAGGTGTATACAGCGTGTGTCTGTGTGTGCACACACAAACGGAGAGGGAGGAGGGAGAGCAAGGGCGTGCGCACACCGAGAGGGAGCAGGGGCATGTGCACACGGAGAGGGAGGAGGGGGAGAGGGGCGTGTGCACACGGAGGGGGAGGAGCCAGCGCATGCGCACACACGTGACCGACCCTCGGGTCTGCACCAGGAGGAAGCCCTGGCTGCTGAGGGGAAGGGAACTCGGGTGCACAGGGCAGAGAGTCCCTTGCACCGTGAGCCCTGTGGAGCCTTTTCAGCTGGAACTCACTGTGTCACCTGCTCAAGGAGGGTCCTTCGGGGGTGGGGATACAGTCCCAAGGCCGGGGGTTCAATCCCCAGCACCACCAAAGAATAAGAGATCAATAGGGGCTGGGGCTGGGGACGGCCTAGGATCAGCCTGGGGACAGCCTGGCCAGAGGATGGCCTGAGGACACTGTGGGGGTGGCCTGGGAACAACCTGCCCTGGGGACAGCCTGGGATCAGCTTGGGGACAGCCTGGGATCCGTCTGGGGACAGCCTGGCCTGAGGATGGCCTGGGGACAGCGTGGGGGATGGCCTGGGAACAGCTTGGCCTGGGGACAGCCTGGGATCAGTCTGGGGACAGCCTGGCCTGGGGATGGCCTGGGGACAGCTTGGCCTGGGGACAGCCTGGGATCAGCCTGGGATCAGCCTGGGGACAGCCTTGGGGCAGCCTGGGGACAGCCCGACCTGGGAACGGCTTGGGAATGGCCTGGGATCAGCCTGGGCACGGCCTGGGGACAGCCCATTCTGGGCATGGCCTCTGGACGCCCGGCCTGGGGACAGCTTGGAGACAGCCTGGGGATGGCCTGGAGACAACCTGGCCTGGGGACAGCCTGATGATGGCCTGGAGACAGTCTGGGACAGCTCAGCCTGGGCACGGCCTGAAGACAGCCTGGGACAGCCCTGTCTGGGATCAGCCTGGGGACGGCCTGGGGACAGCCTGGGATCTGCCTGATGAGAGCCTGGGCCCGGTCTGGGGACAGCCTGAGGACAGACCGGCCTGGGGACAGCCCATCCTGGGCACGGCCTCGGGACTCCTGGCCTGGGGATGGCTTGGGGACAGCCTGGGACAGTCTGGAGACAGCCTGGGACAGCGCGGCCTGGGATCAGCCTGGGGACAGCCTGGTGACAGCCTGGGCCGGGCTTGGGGACAGCCCGGCCTGGGGACTGACACCGGCGGCTGCGCCTGGGGCGGGGCGCCGGGCTCCCGCGGCCCAGGAAGAGGCGCGGCCCCGCGGGG